GGGGGGGGGCGGGAGGGGGGGGTAAAGCGACAAACAACGCGGCCACCCCCAGCGCCCGCACCGCGAGCATCAGCCGCAGCGTCGCTCCGGTGGTGCAGCGCCGGGCTCGGGGCCGGGGCCGGGCGTCTGTGGGCGCGGGGCTGCGGGCGGCTCGGGGGCAGCGCTACCGCCCTACCATTGCCTTCTGTCCTTTGCCTTGCAGGTGTCGTCGATAAACAGAGTCCTCCGCAACCTGGCTAGCGAAAAGCAACAGATGGGTGCCGACGGGATGTACGACAAGCTAAGGATGCTGAACGGGCAGACGGGGACATGGGGCACCCGGCCCGGCTGGTATCCCGGCACCTCGGTACCCGGACAGCCCGCACAAGGTGAGTGCCGTGCGGGTCGGGCGGCTGTGCCCAGCTGTGCCCCGATGTGGTGCCCAGATGTGGCCCCCGGAGGCGGTGCCCAGACGCGGGTGCCCGCGCTCCGGGATCAGCTCCCTGCAAAGGGCGGGCAGCGGTCCCTCCTCGATGGGAACAACTTCGTAAATATAGGAAAGTGTTTATCCTGAAGATTAATAGGTATCGGTCGTAGGAATGACAAGGGGATAATATGAAGGATAATGGGATGCCGCGTTGCCCACTCGGGATGGTTAATGGCCGTGTCTGAGCGCGGCTCTCCGGCCGCGGCCGCTCCCCTCGAGGAGGTGCCCGCACACAACAACCTGCTTTTTGTTTTTGCCCCGCGAGGAAAAAAAAATCGGTAACAGTGTGCAGAATATCTGGTACAAAGGATGTTTCTGTCGCACGCAAGAATTTGTTATGGGAACAATTCTGTCGCTATGTAATTGCTCATTAGAGATCGTTTTGTTTCTCATTAAGGCGACATGAATAAGCGTCTAGTTGAAGGAGACAGCTGTAGAAATGTTCCACAGGAGACCTCTGGACACGATATGGCACCGCTTGCCAATTAGACATGTCAGTTTTAAGAGAAGAAAACAATCTATGAAGGACACCAGAAAGATAGAGCGCGGCCCTCGCTCCCCCCGTCCCCCGCTTTTTTAGCCCACTTTCCCCTCTGCGCCCCGATGTCCCCTCGCAGCCCAGCCAGCGCCCTCCGCACCGCTACCTGCGGGCAGCCCCGGCCCCGCAGCGCCCGGCGGAGCGGTGCGGAACCCCGAGCCCCTGCGGGAGGGGCCTTGCAGAGCTGGAGGGCGCTCAGAGGGACCCCCGGTGCAGGTCTGGGGAGCCCCGAATGGAGCGGGGAACGGGGGAGCGAGCGGAGCCGAAGCGAGCGGGACGGCTGCGCGCTGGAATATTCATGCCGCCTCCAGCGTTTTTCCCTTGCAGGGGAATGTTACTGGATTTTAAGAGTCCATTACTCAAAAAGCATAAGGCGAGGTTAGGTCTCAGAGGGGCACAAATATGGTCTCAATCTGATAAACGCCATGCGGCGGTGAATAAAATAATGGATACGCGGGGGCTGACAGAACAAAAAAGAGACATCTCTATCCGGGAGAAACTCTCCAGCGATTTAGCGGGTTTAGGGATCACCGCGACACTGTTTCTTATCTTTTTTTTCCCCTCCCTCTCTTCTAAGTCTAAAGCCTTCTATAGGATTTAGACACTTTCTCTTTCAACAGATGCTACAATGTTTTGATCCCGGCTCTGTGGCTGAGCGGTGCCGCAATTGGTTCGCTATCTTTTTTTGCTCGTTTTCCGCCTCGCTGAGTACGGCACTGAGAAACCGAGGAATGATTTTATTTCCCAGCGTCTTTTTTTTTTTTTTTTTTCCCCCCCCCCCCATTTCTTTTTTTTTTTTTCCAGGAAACAAATCCTATGCCCAGCGTCAGATGGTCTGGCCATAGGATAATAGGGACGGACATTCACTCCCTTTCTTACGGATTAGGTCTGGAAGGTGGAACAGCCCTATTATTGAGATCGCTCCTTTTAGGGCCTTCTTAAAAAAAAACAACAACAACAAAAAAAAAAGGCAGCGGAGGGGCTCCCGGAGAGAGGAGACGTCTTAATTGTCCGCGCGGGTGTGCGGGCGGCCCGAGAGCCGCGGTGGGACCCAGCGGCCGCCCGGCCCGGCCCGGGGGCAGCAGCGCTCGGGTAGCGGGGCGCGGGGCGCGGGGCGGACAGTGATGGATGAGGGCGGTGGCGGAGGTGAGGCTGCCGCCCCCGGGCCGGGCGGGCGGCCCCCGGCGCTGCCACCAGCGCTTGGCAGGGCGGCGGCCCCGCCGCGACGGCGCGGCCCGGGCGGGGCGGCTTTGTGTGCCCTGAAAGGCAGCCCCCGGCTATTCACCCGCCGGCGGCCGCCTCAATGGGGCTGCGGCCGCCCATATGGTGGCCGCTGCGGTTGAATCCCCGTGTTTAAATGGGGGAGAAAGTGGGGGTTTTAAAACATTTCAAAGTGGTTGAAAGGGTCCCACCAGATCCCGGCACAATTCCCCCCGCGCTTTGAAGGCCGGGGCCATTGTGAGCCGATTAGAAATGATATTGCTTGAAAGTCGATTTCCCACAATATTTCAAGGGTGTCGCGGGAGCGTCGCGACGCGTTCGTGCCGTAACTTTGCGGCTGGAACGATTAGCATTCGGCGGCCCCCGCGCCCCTTCTCCGCTTCCCCTTGGAAGCCGCGGAGCGCCGCTCGGAGCGGGGCCGGCACCGGGACCGGGTCTGTGGCCGCGCTGCCCGCAGCCTCGCGGGGCCGCCCCGCGCCGGGAGCGCCCGGGGAGAGCCGTGCCAGGCGCTCAGCTGCGCTCCGCTCGGCCGCGAGCTCCTCGCTGCCGCTCCTTTGAAAATTACATGTTAAAATTTTCAAAGAAATCTTACTTTTCTCTGGTGCGCCGCGTTTACAAAGAATGGACGGTCCTTTTATCTAAATATAAAATTCCATTTTCGGCAATTATAGCCTGTTCTTGGTGATGATATAATTACAGCTGTGCTCAGTAATAGGTGTCAAGGCGATGCACACTCATACAATAGTTGAATAAAACTGCAGAACAATGCAGGCACTTCTAAATTCACAACCTTTAAAATGAAATTGACTGTGCAGAATTCAAATAAAAACGGGATAAATATTTTTTAAAAAAGATTACAAGCTTGGTTTGGTTCCTTAATAGCATTTTCTGCAAACCTATCAACATCTAATTGATTAGATGGGAATTACTGATTATAGATAATCCGAAATACCGAACATCGCTCTTTTAAATACAGCAATAGGTAAACGCGTCGGGTGGGCAAAGGGGGCCGCCCCGGTGCTTTGGCAGCGACCGGATATCGAGTCCCTGCCAGTGGAGAGGGCTTTTAGGCAGGTTTTATCCCGGAGGAAAAATAACGTGGAATATAGAGAGGGCGGTTGTAATTCTCCGTTCGGAACGCTTACGGGAGCGCGGGGAGATGCAGCATCCCTGTGTTAGTGGTGTCATCAGGGCCACACCACTGCCGTACCCCAGATTGTTTTAGGAGGGGGGTCAGCTGCTCAGCCCCTGCTCTGCTAGAGCTCCTCCCGGTGTCGCCGTCTCACCTCCGCGCTCTCCTTCCCGCAGACGGCTGCCCGCAGCAGGAGGGAGGAGGGGAGAACACCAACTCCATCAGCTCCAATGGGGAAGATTCCGACGAGGCCCAGATGAGACTTCAGCTGAAAAGGAAGCTGCAGAGAAATAGGACATCCTTTACCCAAGAGCAAATCGAAGCCCTTGAGAAAGGTGAGCGACATTTTGCTGCTGCAGCAGTAGGAGAGAAAGGCAAGAGACACCCTGGCTGCGTTAGGAGCTGAGCAGATTCCTGGCATTCACATGCCTTATAGAGATACAGACAGCTCTGAGGCCCCTGGCTCCTTCCATGCCATTTCATTCTGACCCACATCGATGGCTGCGGAGAACAGAAAGGGCAGCGCGGGGCTCAGTGCAGTGCTGCACCCCGGGCTGACCTCCTCCTTCTGGGTGGTGGTGGGGCAGGGTACTGGGTAGCAGCATGTCAAGGTGCTGGATGCTGGCAGGACAGGGTGCTGGGTGCCAGCACCATGCTTGCTCCCCATCCCCAGTTCTGCTGCTGCCCAGGGCTGGCAGCCGGTGCCCTTTTCCCCAGCCGTGGCCGGCTCTCTGCCCAGATTTCCTGTCGTCATTCGGCCACGTGCCACTCAGCTTCTTGGTCATGGGGTCAGGGTGCCATGGGAGCTCCTCACAGGGGTAAGAAGATCATGCCCAGCCCCAGCCCCACCATGCCTGACAGCCTGGGGTCCTTCCCAGCACACATTTATGCAGAGGGCTCTGTGCTGTCTCACAGTACCGACTTGCAGGCACTGAGGGTGTGGCTGTGCCACAAGGCTGGGACCTGACCATCAGCCACATTCGTTCTCTACAACTCACATGGCAATACTTCTCCTTGCAGAGTTTGAGAGAACCCACTATCCCGATGTGTTTGCGAGAGAGCGACTAGCTGCTAAAATAGATTTGCCTGAAGCAAGGATACAGGTATGGAGCTGCCACGTAACTTTCCGCCGTTATCGTTCTTCCTTTAACCACTGTAATTTGTTATGAGTGGCTTCTTGAAGTCGAGTGTAATGCCGGGTGTTCGCCCATCTCCTTCATCAGGAAGTAGCAGCAGATGGGCTTGGCTTTGCTGTGCTGTGGGGCAGCTCTGTGCTGGCCCTGGGTGACCCGGGGAGCCATGTGCCCTCGCCCCACCAGGCCACTCACGCCTCAAACGCTGTGCTTCCAGGTGTGGTTTTCTAACAGAAGGGCCAAGTGGAGAAGGGAGGAGAAGCTGCGGAACCAGCGGAGACAAGCCAGCAACACTCCCAGCCACATCCCCATCAGCAGTAGTTTCAGCACAAGCGTTTACCAGCCGATCCCACAGCCGACCACCCCCGGTAATGCAGCCAACCCGCCCGCGTGAAGCCATCCTCGGGACACCGAGACCGTGGGACTGTGCCGCCGAGCGCGATCGTGGTTAAACTAATGTCTCCATCTATCTGTCTATTCTATTATAGTTTCCTCTTTCACATCAGGTTCCATGTTGGGCAGGACAGACACGGCGCTCACAAACACGTACAGCGCATTGCCACCCATGCCCAGCTTCACCATGGCCAACAACCTGCCTATGCAAGTAAGCACAGCGCCGCGGAGAGGGCATCGCGCTCGGATGAGCGCTTTGCTGGGATTTCAGGAGAGAAAGGTCCTCAAAACGGTTGGCGGTTGGATGGCTCGAGGGCTGGACTAGATGGTCTTAATGGTCTCTTCCAACCTTACAATCACGAGGTTTGGTGTGAGGAGCCCCATTTCAGACAAGAACGCCCGTCCTGAGGTTAAGGCACGGCAGCGGGGCCGCGTGCTGTCGGAGCGCTCCGCTGCGGGAGGGACGCGCGTGAGGGACACCTGAGCGAGGGAAGGGAGGGTGCGATTAGCATCAGTGGTTCTGCCAGCTAAGCCAGAATTGCAAGAGCTGTCAATCCTCATGCCTGAAAGCATTAGCTGATCACCAGCTGGGTGAGGAAGAAATCTATTCCTTTGGGGTCCGTTTCTATAGACCTTTCAGATGCAAAATTCCTCCTTTTTTAATGGTGGGGTTGGCCTAGGAAGGTGCTGGCCAATTACGGGAGCTGTGCAGCTTTGTCTGAGGCACGCAGCATTGACCACTGCTGGAGACGGGCGAGCCGATTAGAGAGCCTGACTCCTTCGCCGCGGCAATTACCATGTTACTAATTGCTGAACCAAAATTAACCAAATAAAGTTAGAGTCTCTCAAGTTCAGGGAAAGGAATTGCGTCGTTAAGCCCTTATTTCACGATATTGGAGGCGGGCAGCATGGCTGACAAAGGATCAAAGAGGGCTCTGGGCAGGGCTGTGGCCCCACTGGGCCTCACCAGCTCCCGTAGCCTCCTGACGGCCACCTCTGGGTGAGGATGGTCTCCGTGGCCGTGTTGTGCCATCGGTACCTTTGGGTGGAGGGGATGCTTGAGGACATGCCGAGACTCTGAGCCCCAGGGCTGCCCCACATCTAACTCTGCTCTGTCCTCGCAGCCCCCAGTACCCAGCCAGACCTCCTCCTACTCTTGCATGCTGCCCACCAGCCCGTCGGTGAACGGCCGGAGCTATGACACCTACACCCCTCCGCACATGCAGACACACATGAATAGCCAGCCCATGGGCACCTCTGGCACCACTTCCACAGGTGAGCGAGCGGGCCCTGCTGGGAAGGGGTGGGAGGTGCTGGGTTACTGAGGCCATGCCCATAGCGGGGTGGTGGGAGGCTTCTGGGGGGGCCCTAGCCTTGCACAGACCTTGGTGTGGCTGAGCACAGCAGCACTCACTGGGTGTGAGGCATTGGCACAGCCGTGCTCACTGCAAAGTGAAGCGTGTGCTGGGCTGAGCACGTCACTGCCATGACTGCACCAAAGGATGCTGCTTGCCAGGGCTCTGTTATCTAACAGGAAGGTAACTGTGGGATTACTGACCTCTGCTAATAAAGCACGACAGGGTAAAAGGTTGTCAGCATCACTGGGAGCAACAGAGGAACATTTAAAAACTAGGAATGCTCGGTGTATTTTGGGCTGAGTTCCCAGTGGATAGCATCGAGCTGGGGCTCTGCCACTTACCTCAAACACAACAGTTTAGACATAACAGCTCGGCTAGATGCACACAGGCTTTGAAAGCATATCTTCCCCCAGCCCAATCCCGCAGGCTGGTGGATACAAAACTTCATACAAACCTGAAATGGGTGAGCAAAAATAGTGCTATGTATAGAAAAGCTAAAATATCCATTTTCCCACTCAATTTCCAGGTCTCATTTCCCCTGGAGTGTCAGTTCCAGTTCAAGTTCCTGGCAGTGAACCTGATATGTCTCAGTACTGGCCAAGATTACAGTAAAACATGTGTTAATTCCGTAAATGACTGTATGGACAACAGTTGGATGTTCAGCAGTATTTTCTAAAGGAAGAATGGCTCTCAGAGTACTTCTGTACTGCAACTGTGCCCTACGCTGTAACACATGGAAAAGACTCTAACATGGACCTTTGTACACTGAAGGCATTATATCGGTTGGAACAAATCTTCATTTTGGTATCCAAACTTTTATTCATTTTGGTGTATTATTTGTAAATGGGCATTTGTATGTTATAATGAAAAAAAAAAAAAAGAACAATGTAGACTGGATGGATGTTTGATCTGTGTTGGTCATGAAGTTGTTTTAAGAAAAAAAAAAAGAAAAGAAAAGAAAAAAAAAAAAAAAAAGAAGCCATGATCAACAAGCTTTGCCACGAATTTAAGAGTTTTATCAAGATATATCGAATACTTCTACCAATCTGTTCATAGATTATGGATTGACGTTCCAAGTTTGTATCATTCCATTGCATATAATTAAACCTGGAACAATACGCACTAGATTTATGTAAGAAAAATATCTGTTGGTATTTCCAAAGGTTGTTAACAGATGAAGCTATGTGCAAACAAGGGTTAAGAGAGAACTTCGACGGAGAAAAGAGTTTGATAGATAAAAGGTAGATTGTGTCTTCGATATAATCCAATTTGTTTTATGTCAAAATGTAAGTATTTGTCTTCCCTAGAAATCTCCCAGAATGATTTCTATAATAAAGTTAATTTCATTTATATTTGACAAGAATATTCTATAGATGTTTTATACACATTTTCATGCATCATACGTTTCTTTTTGGTCGGCAAAAGTTAATTGTTCTTAGATATAGTTGTACTACTGTTCACAGTCCAATCATTTTTGTGCATCTAGAATTCATTCCTAATCAATTAAAAGTGCTTGCAAGAGTTTTAAACTTAAGTGTTTTGAAGTTGTTCACAACTACATATCAGAATTAACCATTGTTGATTGTAAAAACCATGCCAAAGCCTTTGTATTTCCTTTATTATACTATTTTCTTTTTAACCTTATAGTGTGGTGTTGCAAATTTTGTTACTGTGCTAGGTCAACCTCACTCAGTTTAATGTCGAGCCTATTTTCCGCTTGCAGTCAGGAGGGTTCTCACGAACCTCTGGCACCTCCAGCAGCCCGTAATTGGGGCTGATGGAAAGAGGATGCGTTCTCGTCTCTTAACTGCAGTCAGGGAGCAGGAGGCTGTGGGTTTAGCCTGCGTTTGTGGGCTGCTCTCAAGGAACGGCAGAGCTGAGCTGGGCTCCCGGCCGGCAGCTCGAGCCGCGCTGCTGTGTTTACACGTGGCATACGCAGAAATGCATATGTGCACAAATGTACGTTCCCGGCTTCTAAAAACCGTTTTTGTTAGGATGTTTGAGAAGAGAAAACAAGCTGTGTTTTTAACAAGCTCTTTGGGAGAGTGAATACCGTCCTTTTGTACCGCCACACAGCACAATCCTAGTGTAATTTTCCATTGAACTTGTAACCTGGTTAATACCTCAATGCGCTTTGTGTGAGGGTTGTTAGTGTGGGCGTGGGTGGAGAGCTGCATGTCAAGGAATAATGAGAGAAGACAAATCAACAGGCAGCAACAATGCGAGCTGGGACTGGCTAGTGAAAGCTGGAGGCCTTTAGTCACTGGCAGGAAAGCCAAACATTCCCGGAGCCCGAGCCTGGCTCATTGTGGTGCTGCCGGCTCTGGCCATGCTGTGCTGAAACACGGCTCTCGCGCCTGAAAGGCCGGGATGTGGGGAGCACCGAGTCAGAGCCCAGCCCTCACAAACAGCCTTTGTGAAGCAGAGATGCTATCGGGGCCAGTTATGTTGTCCTTTCTGCTCGCTCCAGCACATTTGTAGTGGCAGATAACTCCTCGCCATGAAGCCAGAGAACCAAGTCTAGGGCTGCCTGCAGACGGGGTCACACACACGGAGGGGCCGAGTCCTTCAGGGACAAAGAGTGGCCATGCTCAAAGCATGATATGATAGCTCGTAACATTGAGAGCAGGACCATTAGGTTAAAATATTTCTTTTTAATTGATGCCGGTCAGTCGTTAGATCAACTGTAAATAGTTTTAATTATCTGGAAGCTATCCATTTGAGAATGTTAATTACACAGGGAATTTATTTTTATTTATATCTACGTTGGTCAGACGCGTGCCCTTGCATTGTGTGTTATTTCCTGTTTCTGGCTGGATTGCAGCAACACTGCAGTGGGCAGGTCCCTCATGCATGGCGAACTTGACCCAGGAACAGCTGATGGGACGTGCAAGCCCAGCGGTCATGGCCCACTTGCCGTGTCTATCTCCACCACCGCAGCCTGTTCCTCAACACCAGCTCCCAGAGCATGAGCTGCCCGTGGCTGGACGACTGCTCTTGGCGATGGGGGTGGGCAGGGAGCCCCTGTCCCGTGCATCGCATTCTCCTGAAGGAGGCAGGGCCTTGCGGTTATTTGGGCAGCAGAGAGGAGAGCTTTCTGGCTCGCTGGCTTGCTGTTGTGCCCCGCGGAAGCAGGTCGGCAGGGAAGGCCACGGCTGGCCGCACATCGGGGAGCAGGAGGGACACGGCGAGCCTGGAGAGCGGTGTGCCGGGGGTTTAGGGCTGCCGTGCCTGCTCTGTGGTTGGGGGTTTTCCCCAGGCTGGGGGCTTGCCAGTGTGGTGTAGAAGGGAGCTGCGTGCGGCTGCAGCTGCCTTGTCCAGCAGCACGAGGAACAAACTGAAAGCTCTAGCATGCTCTGAGCGGTATCTAAAGCCCATTCGCATCCCTCTTCTTCTTCCAGAGCTATGTAGCTTGCTAAGCCTGATACCCACCGCCGTGTGCTGCTCAGCCTAACACAGCTATTTCCAAGGATCTCTGCCTTTTACCACTTAAATCAGTGGAAGCTTCGCTATTGATTTCAGTAAGAACGAGGCATTTCTGTGCATTGGGTTAAAATGTATTTCATAATAACACCTTATACTTTATTTATAAGCCCCTCCTAAGGCATTTCACAAATTATAGTCACACAAGAATTGATGTGTGAGCGCTGTCTTAATAACACCGTATTTTGTATTTCAAATATTGTGTTCCAGATACAATATTTACATCACAAGTGAAAAGGCTGCTAACCTACCCGTTATTGTTCTGAGCAGACAGATGATGAGCCACAGTGCTCACAGCCACGCGTGCGGTGGAGCCCGTGGCGGCACTGCCTCGCACTGCGCTGATCCGGGTTTGGTTCTGGAAGGTAAGCAGCAGTCAGACTGTAATGCCTGGCAGGCAGCAGAAAGGGGACTGCACCCCTTTTTTCCTCTTTATCTGGGTCTCTGTTTATAAAAATATATAAGTGCTGGTTTAATTTGGGCAGTGTAATGTGGGGTTGATCTTTTGGGAAGATGCTGCCATTGCAGAAACGAGCCTGGGACTGGTAACACACAGAACCCTGCCCCAGAGTTTTCAGCCATCAGTCCTACTTCATGCTCTTTTTGTGTCTCTAGATTTTTTTTTTTTTTCTGATTTCTTAGGTATTGCAGGCTGAAATACATTGTTTTGTTTTCACTAGGAAATAAGAGCAGTTTTAGAGTTGTGCTGAGGTTTGAATTCGATCTGTGCTTCCAGATCTGTACAAACAGCAGTAGGAAAGCTGAAACAATATCACTCTTTTCCTTTTTTTCCCCCGTTTGTTTCCCTTTGATGTTGTGCTCAGCTCCAGCAGCTGCACATCGCTCCACACACAGCTAGTGAGGCTCTTCTGCTCTCAAAGTGGTGTAGCATCTTTTTAAACAGCTTTTCTTTGACAAGACACCTGCTAAATGAGCACCCGTAGCCACGTTCCTCATTGGAGGTGCAATCAGCGCTGACAAATACCCCAGTACAACCCTCCCTCCCAGCAGGGAGAGGTGTAGGAATGGAGGATGAGGAGCAGAGTCCATGATGGCCGCTCGGCCTTGTCTCCCTGTATGCTGCAAATCTTGCTTTCTCTGGATCTTCATCAGGAACCCGCAGTGTCTGTGCTGCGCTGTGCTCTGCTTGCAGATAGAAACCACGCAGATAGAAGCCACGTCTCCTCGCCCCGCATGCAGCCCAATCCCCTCGGCCAGGCCCCAACCACTCCGCAGGCTCCCCATGGCTGGAGGAGCGGGCAGCCGCACGCAGGCCTCCAGCAGAGGCTGCCTTGCCTCCAGGCACCTGACAGCCCTCACGTACGCCCCAGCAGCCGTGCTGTGAGGGCTGCAGGCTGCGGTTCCCCTCCCCGGGGACGACGAGCTCTTCCAGCTGCACCCGCGGAGGTGGGAGATGCGCAGATAACGTCCACCGTGTCAGCCCTGTGCTGATGGATTCTGAGACACTTCTGAGCAGTTATTCCACAGAAAGTGCACATGGGGCACCAGGATTACGATTTACACGGAACTCTTTTATCCCTAATGTTTCTCTGCAAATTTGGCTCCATATCCAGATTCATATCCTGTAGTCAGCAGCTCTGTGATTCGCATTCTGCAGGGGAGGGCTTATTTATTTTTAAAACTCTCTCTGCCAGATTGGATTAAATAAAAGATCAGTCATTTAAGTTTTATAATTTTTTTTTTTTTTTTGCTTTTAAAGAAGCAAGTTGTCCCCTTGGATTTCTCTGAATTGAAGTCAATACCATCCCTTTGCAGATGAGGCATTCAGACCCCAGCATCTCTCCTTAAAGCAGGCTTCTCCTGGGCCCCATGGCTTTCTGGTCCATGATTCACCTGCTCCATGCTGGTGTTCACCAACAAGGGTTTGGGCAAAGGCAGATCGAAAACTCCACATGGCCAGGCCTACATATATTTCCTGGCTGTGTTTACCTGCCGTGCTCTCCACCATGCTCTAATTGTGTCTACCAACGACACTACTTGTTCTTTACCCCCTTTCCCAGTGTTTGACCGTGCTGAAGTCTTCTCTGATACCTTGATGCTGCCATGTTTCAGGCTCTGTGCTGGTCACCCTTTGTGAGTAGTCTGGAGGGTGTTGGGGAAGCCTCTGTGTCTTCTGTTCAACAGGCCTACCCCCAAAAAATTCACATCAGAGCTTTCTTTGCTGTGCTCCGCTCCAATCTGAGTCCAAAGAAAAAAAAAAAATGCTAAAACTGCACTGAAGTTTGCCTGCTTAAAGACTTCTGAAGAGAATACCTGATGCCTTCCTTTGGTGCTGACAGAATTCTGAGTGCACAAAATCAAACTCTGCCACATTATTTTGTGAAGATTTTTTTTTTAAATTCTTGTTACATTTGGGATTTAACATTCAATGCTGTGAGACATGACTCTTTTTTTTTTTTTTTTTAAATATTATTTAAATATTATAGGAATACACAGACACATATTCTCCAGATCTGATACTGTTTTAACAAAGATCCTCTGGACCTAATCTTACCAGCTTGCTCTTCACCTAAAGCTGCACTGATTTCCCAGAGACCTGAAGTTCCACAGTGCCGGAATGCCCATTTGCAAAAACGTGTAGAAAGCACAAAAGATGTCTTTGTTTTGATAGGAACAGGAGGTCTGCAAATGAGCTTGATGTGCCTAAAAACTTTCAAAATTGTTTAAAAGCAGAGTTTTAATAAGTGGACAAGTTGTCAGCAGATGCTCAGGACGTTTGGTGCACACCGCTTCTGAAATTCTGCCTGTCCACCCAGATGTGGGAATACAGACAGAGGCATCCACTACACAAGGAACCGTGTTTGGAAAAAATGGAGCTCAACATTTGCTTATATTAGACTAGAAACTGAAATTAATTACTATGGAATTTTAAAATTTTCTTCCCATTCAAGTTGCCTTTTTTTTTTTTTTACATGACGAGGATTCACTTTCATTCCCTTACTCTACACAAGTCCTCTTATTATTGATTAAGCACCATCATGTGCTCAGTGTGATTAAAAAAGAAATGCAGGCCTGGCTCTCAGGTAGCTCACAAAAGAAAACAAAAAACCTCAAGAAATATCATGGGGGCAGAACTTGTTTCCACATCTTGGAGACATAGAAGCCTTTCCCCCCATTCTTTATGTGCCCTGTGCAATGATTCTTCTTCATCACAGGCAAAGGAAGAGCATTTTACTAGATTTCCAACATTTGATCCTGGAGAAATATATATATTGTGTGTGTAATATTTGTAAGACAGATAAATGTCTAAAGGGATGCATTGCAACCTTGTGGCTTCAGGAAGGCTTGATTACAGCTCACTCTTCAGTACTGGCATAGTACAGGATTCTTGTAAGTAGACGTGCACTTCTCCAGAAGCATTTGGAACAGCATCACTACTTTATATTAAATTTAAAGCTGAAACTGGTGCTGTACCACAATATGTCTCAAGTTTGAAGTAGCTGAATGCCCATTTACCTGTATCCACTATTACAGATAATTGAATTCAGCTGCATCCTTGAAATTGCTTTTGTAATTTCTTTACAAGTGTAGTAAAAGACTTAATCTATCATAACATTCTTCTCATGTTTCAAATACTTACGCCTTGAAAACCTCAGCGGAACAGAAATTACATAACGAATTTTTATCAGACATATTAGAAGACACAATGCTTTAACTTTCATGATTGCTCCTTACTGCGTGTCACAATTACATTCAGCTCGGGCAATAACTGCAGTGGGAATGTTGTCACTGCAGCAGAATCCTTCTTTCCCTCTTGAGTTTGATGGTTTCGGTTTGTAACCTGTCAAAATAAGGGAAGTTGTGCCTGAAAATTCCAACAAACAGAAAAGCCTTGTACCATCACCCCTATGGAGAGAACCCTTGGAACACTGCAGGGCCACTGCCATCTGCACAGGGCTGCCACTGCCCTGCAGCACAGGGCTGCAACGATGCGGGATGCAGCTGGTAGCACACCATGACAGCCTGCCAACAGAGCCCGCCGTAGCCTGTCTGCCATTACCCGAGCTGCACTTCTTAGCTCTGTTTTGTCTTCAAGCCAAGAGAAGAAAGAGCCGGAGGATACTTTGGTGTACAGGAGCTTGACATTCAAAGGGTGGCTATGGGAGATCTGACAAAATCGCCACCTCTGCCTCCTGAGCCCAAAGTGAGCTGGGGCACTTTTGGTGCAGAACGGCACCTGCGCCCACGTGGCATCGCTGCATCCTCCATTTAGAGATGAGCCGAGTCACTGTCACATGTTGTTGTAACTGATACGGTGTTTTGGAAGGAAAGAAGGAGAATTTTGCTACATCTTTTTGCCTTAGGTAAACACCACGGTACATCTGTATGCCGCGACACTTATTTCACAAAGCATGTCTAGTGGATCAGAAAAAAGATTAATCCAGATTTGCAGGAGGAGCTCCTTTTATTACTAAAATAATTGTTAGCGTGTGAAGCTATGGAAGCTTCTGAAATTCATGTCTTACAAATGCACGGGAATTGCAGGCGGACGCGTGATGCACACACTGCTCGCTAGCAATTCTCGGCTAATACGCTAACTAGAAATGGTCTGTGACTTCCATGATATTTTCTCTCCTCCGTGTTAGGTCAGTGACCTATTTCAGTTTGTTGGCAGCAATTCCCGGGTCTCGTGACTTTGTATTTCACAAAGGAACACTGTGTTTTGTGTTATTTACATTAAAAAGGCGAAATATGTAAAACTTCGCCTTTGTTAAAAATCACTTTACCCCAAGTATTTGAATCACTTCACGCTTTCAAAAGGCACAATTAAGTATCTAATGAGAACTTCCATTCAAGGTAACACATAATATAAAAAGAAAAAAAAATGTTTGAGACATCAGCGATAATATTTTAAATATATTGGCATAGGAAAGCAGATGTCTTCTTGCTTTATTAAACTGACAGTTCAGTTCTGAAACTTTATTTTGAAAAGATTAAAAAAAAAAAAAGTGTGTCTTTAGAAATAAAAAATATAACAGGCATATCTAAAAAACATAGAAGAGAAAACCTGATTGTTACTACTAATGAAATAGCTGATGACAAAATAGTAGTCTTTTTGATTTTGATCACAAAAAATAAACTGGTAGTGACAGGATATGATGGATAGATTTGACATCCTGGCAAATCACTGTCATTGATTCAATTATTCTAATTCAGAATAAAAGCTGTATACAGTATGTGTTTATGCTACAGTGGAGTTTTTTAAGTGATTGACATTCATCATATTAGTTAGACAGTTTTAAAAGCTGTGTCTTTGTTTTACACGGTGTTGTCAAAGAAAAAAAATGAAGTAGAACCTGGACTGCATAAGAAAAAAGCAAGCCACTTAACCAACTCTTGGTTCCCAACCCATCAAAATAAGTTAGCATTGCTGCATCACATTAACACGTTCTCCGAAAAGTCAATTTCACTCCAGCCATGTAATATACTATTAGAAAGACAAAAATCTGCAACTGTAATACAATCTTACAGTTGGGTGGCTTGCAAGTTCGGCAGAGAAGAATATATTACCTTTCAAAATGGAAGGAAGCCTCAGAAGAAACAATGCAAACCACTTTAATTTACAGGTCAGCATTGCTCCACCGTTCTTTTGTTTGATGGTACGTACACGGAGATGCATACAGAGCAGCTGCAAGTTCACAAGCAGAACATATACGATGGTAAAGGAGCCCAAATTACTTTTGTGCTCTGCCCTGCTTTAGACCAGCATGTTGTGATACTCTTCCCCAAGCTCAAATGCACTCTTCTGGTATTCCAGCATTAATGTAGCTGTCGGCTTGAATTTCAATCTTGAATTATGTCTGTTGACATAATTTCATAGTGCTGACTTCAATTGTTCAGGATTACTGTTTTGAACTACATAAGGAAATCAATTCTTTTTTCTACGTTTAGTAAATTCCATTCAAGTGCATTTTAATACATGTATTAACCCAAAAGGCAAACTAATTATCTATAATATATTCCTATTAAAAAAACCCAACAATTCTCAATTACTGGCACATCAGAATAAAACCTAAATTAATTGTTACACATTACATAAAACACCCAAAGTATTTCCTGAAATTTCCTCATAGTATTTCAGCTGCAAAAAAGAATGGTTTTAAAAACAGTAAGTGTGCAGTTAGATCTTGGAATAGCATGTGATAACAAATTGCTTACTTTCATTCATTCGTCTCCATAAACAGTCCAACTTAACTTATTAGTCACACTGAATGTTAAAGGCATGGATGTACAAATTCCACCATGAAAAAAATCTTTTATTTTTATTATTAAAAAAACAGAAATGAAGGAGCAATATTCATTTTCATATTTGAAGGAAAGGATAAAAACACTGTACATTTCCAGTAGGGCAGAACAATGGCAGGAACCAACATAACAGAAGCTTTAACCAAAAGCAAAATCCAATCAAGCCCCAAATTAGCACAAAGAAACCAGGACAAAAAAAAAATAAGGCACCATATGATAACGTGTATTTTTAAAGACTGCTGGGTCAAATCATTAAGAAAAATATTTATATAAGTCATTAACACTCATAATTAGAGTGTCATACAAATCTGAGTGGAACTGCTAAGTAGAAATCACTAGAAGTCCAGGTGCTTCTTGCCGATGGCCATAGCACCACATCCTGAGCTCAGCAGTTTGGCGGATTCTGCCAGATCCTGTTTGCTTGAGCGGCTCACTGTGTCTGACAAGTCTGGAGGCAAGTGCAGGCGCTGTGGCAGGAGGTTTTCAGGAGGGAGAGCAGAAAGAGAGAGGGAAAACAGGGAGAAAAAAAATGAGAGTAATTGCAGCGGAATTCATTTTCCATAGCATATTTCCAAATGCACTTTTTCCTGATTGTTTGACGTTCACGCGCACAAAAATGTATCCTATCCTCCTATCCATGTATGCTTCTAGGCTGACCTGGAAATAGCTTTGTACGTTTTCATTGTGTGCTTCAACGCAGTTCAGGGTTCTGTAAATCAGAATACATTTTTCTTCAGGAAAATTTTCTAAACATAATCCAAATTTGCTGGAGGTATTTAACCACATCTCCACAATTTTCCCTGAAAAACAAACACTGCAGCATATGCTTCCATTTCTGTGTCATGACAGTATACACGTAGCTTAACTTCACGCACTTATGCACGCTTTGTGGCAGAGTTTGAAAATAAATGATAAAATAAACGATGCACTGGACAGAAGATAGAGAGGGATCACCCTGACTGCAACACCACCCCACTTCATCCTCATGTCCTGCTGACAGCGCTCAGTGAAAACTACCAGTGACATTAGCTGCATTTCCACAAGGCAATCAGACATGGTAAACAAGCTCTGCTGTCCCTTCTGAGCTGCAGGAACATGGCATCCATTTTGCTGGTGAGGACACCAAGGCACAGGTTCCAATTGCCCAGAAGCACAGAGCTCTTGCACGATAACCCTTATGGATCAGCTGTGACAAAAATACTCCCACTCTCTCCCTGAGGATTCCTTTACACTGGCGATAAATAGCAGTACGAGTTAGCTATGGTAACACAAGGTGAAAATTAATGTAATACGGAGGCTTTGGTTTGTGAATTACTGGCTGGCTTTTGGACAGTGTGGTGCTGAATGCCAGCAGCTGAGGCTGCTGAGCATCCTTCCACACCGTGCAATTATTTATGGCACCGATATCATGGAAGAAGCGAGTTCCTTGAAAGATTTAGCAGGCAGAGCCTGAGCTGCGCAGCTTTCTGAAGGGAGCAGGGCAACAGTGATAGCTCCAGTGCTCTACTAGGCGGTGCAGACCATGCTTATGCCAACTTCTGCTGTATTTTTGCTTTTGTCACAACACAGAAACATACACAGCTGCCCTTAATTTGATACTTTTGCTACTTTTCTCATAGGAAAAAAGGGATCTTGACATATCTACAGGTAAGCCTCAATATCAGGGCTCTTGCCCATCACCCTGTTAACTCAGGCTGGCAGGGCACCATGTACCTGCAGGCCCCTGCAGGACTCAGATGGGAAAAGTCAAAACGAAGACTGCTCAGATTGGGTGGTGAGACTGAATTAAGCTTTCACAGTTGAATGTGCTATGATACAGCGTTTAGTTACATACACATATACTCTTTTCCTCCCATCTAATTCAGTGAGGAGGATGCACACTGCTCACTTAGGGACCAGCTATTCAGAATTTTGTTTTCTTGTCACTGTTTGCTCTGAGCTTTTTCTGACATAGTTATTGTATGCTATTCAGGACTCGTTCTGAAGACAGAATGGCATTTTGCATGTTAGTATATAGCACTAGAACGCTTCATAAATACCAGCGATGGTATTTTCCTGATATTCCTGTGAGATAAGGCAGCAAAGATACCTTCATGTCATGGATAGGGAATCAAGGCACACAAAACATGGCAAAAGGTATCCGCTCATTTCAGGAACATACCCCGAGCCATTCAGGACTTGACTGCCCATCGTGCTTCCCATGATCAACCACAGCTTCCAGCTGCACTGCAAGCACCCGGCAGTTCTTCAGGAGCTCCAAGCCAGGGCTTCAGACACCGAGTAGGAGCACAGAAATACAAACCCTGTGCTGAAATGACCTGGTCACCCAGCAGCTCGGTGGGACGAGATGAGACACTTTCCAAGACATCCTCCTACTGTCTTCGTTACAGCACCATTCTTTCCACAGGTCTTGCCCTCTCTACAGGTCAACTGTCAGGTACTACAGTGAACGGCACATCTCCAGCAGCGTGCCTCGCTGCATATGCCACCTTCACCCTCAGATCAGGTGCATTCTGAGCAATATACAGCAGCAGGTTCCTCTGAAAGCAGCTGACTACTATCCTGACACTAAGATCTGAAACCCAGCACACAAATGCTACATCTGAACAAAGCCCCAGTAGGCATCTCAGGATGCAACTCCTTATGTTTTCTGTGTGCAGCTTCAAAACATATTAACCCTGAAAAATATTTTAACACCATAAAAAAAAATTGCAAGCTTCTGAACACAGACAAACTGGAAATGCATCACGTGGCATTACAGAGGCATCTGAGGGATGAGCAACAGCCCTGTAGTTTTGGCAGCACTGCAGGACCTGTGCTCACACAGTAAGTGAGAGCTTGAATAGGCTGTGATCCTTTCTGAGCACCAGCATTACAGAGTGGGCAGACACTGTCACAGATATTTGCTGACCACAGAGAAACAGCCGCATTTAAAGTTCCAGTTTTGGACAAAGTGTTTCCTGGTGGACAAACTTCTCTGTTGTTTCAGAGGCTCCCTTTCAGTCTCTCTCATTGCTGTGACTGGCTTTGCCCACTGAGGCCTCCGACCCCGCAGCTGGTTTTCATAAGAAAGCATCCCTCCTCCAGCTACCTGCACCCCAGCCACTTTCAGCTTTCTGCTCCCAACCCCTCCACTCACATTTTGCAGAATCACAGAATCATTAAGCTTGGAAATGACCACTGTCAACCCAGCCGTTTCTCCCAGTCCTGCCTTTTTCTCACTCCTTTCTGCCCATATTCCACTCCCTGCTCAGATTCCTGAAGCTGTGGTCCCAGGCCACCCACCCTTGCCTCAGCCCCTCCACCTTGTCCTCCTCTGGGGCTGTGTCTGCAGTCCTGAGCACGCAGCACATGATGTCTGTGTTTGAGCTGTAGCTGTGACTGGCACACGGGTACAATCTGCTGGCGCTTCCCACTGCTCCCAGGTCAGGTCAGGAGGGCTTTGCAGTAATAGGCACAATTACACAGAACACAGCTAAGCACACAGCTTCAGGGCATGCCTTACGAAAGGAAAACAGCTCAGACAAAACTTATTGCATACTTTGCCTTACTTTGCTTCTGCTCCTCCCTCTCGGCCTGAAGAAAACTTCTAATGACTTCATTTGTTCTCAATGTGGAAAAAAAAGTAGAAGAGGAAGATAAGAAGATGTAAAGTGTCAGGCCAGAGGGGACACTGGGCAATCCTTTAGTCCTAGTGAAATCTCTTATTGAACCTCTGTAGTAGAAACAGTAATTGGTTCACCAAAGTACTTTACATTTTTGTGGAAATATATGTCTGTGTGAGGTACAGATTACTTTTATACTGGATAAAATACTCATAAATAACTGAAGTCCAAGACATTAAAGGAACAGCAATAGTTCATTAATTGAGGACAAGTAAGAGAAAAAATTCTTGGAAATTCTTTAAGTATAAAAATATTTAGTAATAATACAGTAACCAAATATATATATAGGCAAAGAACTAAACACCAAATAGTTCTTCTTTATATCTCTCCAAAACCATCACTGTATTATAAGTGTAATTCTATAGCAGACAAATCAATGGTAACATCAGTGATGCAATATCACCGAGTCCGATCAGAAGAAGAGGTGGGAGATTGATCTTGAGATATACTAAAGCAACCAACCTTGTGATTCTGCTAACACTGACATGAAAATTTTAACTGAGCCCAAATTTCTGAAATTGCAACTTTAAACGAATAAATCTTCATAATTCTATTTGGATGTCCGACCAAAAAATTGCTTATTAGTCTACTATGGCTACAGTCCTGCCTTGGGGCAGGGAGATGGGTGAATGACCTCTCTAGATCCCTTCCAGTTCCATTTGCTGCAACTCTGTGAAGACTGAAGTCACCAAAGCCTAAGGGATTTGGTTCAGGGGGAAGAGGAGGGTGGGGAGAAGAATTTTAGGAATGCTGGGAAAATGAAAGATGCAGGCTTCTAGTCGGGGAGCTTAATATCCTACTCACTTCTCTTTGACAAGCATGCACAGAGGTACAGCAGTTCATCTGTTATTGCTTCCTTTTCTGCTTATGATGCCCATAATGCATTATGCTTTCTTTTTATATCTTTTTTTTTTACCGCCTCATTTATATTGGTTAGTATGTACTTTGACTACCATGTACCTAGGAAAAGACTTGGCATTTTTGTAGGTGACATGAAAAAGATGGGTTCAAGGAGAAAGCTGCAGGAGGCTGTAATGCAGCTTTATAAAGCCTCCTCTTGCAAGAACCTGGTTTCTTACTTGAAAATAATCAAACTGTCAAGTGATTGTCACCGTCCCCTGTCTGGAAACAGATTCCTGGATAAAGAATAAGACACCATGGGCAGGCTGGGGAGAAGGACATTCCATCTGGAAATGCAAACCAGGAATGCATACTTTAAGGAACGAGGGAGCCCGTGGAGGATGCACAGCCCCGCGCTGCTCTGCTACCCATGCTGAGCATGTTACCTGCACTAGCCTCACTAGACTTTGTGTTTCCTGCCTTCCTCACGGGTCACTGCCCAGCATGGGAACCAGCTGTTCTTTTTGGCGAAAACAAATTGCTGTCTTGAGGTTAAATACAGAAGATGTGCAGGTATGAAATTAAATCTCTTCCAGAAAGAAGAGCTTGCTCAAATGCTTGACGTGGAGGTGGCTTATGTTTTGGCTTCTTCTCTTGCCAGCTTCCAAGTCCAGAGCCACCAGAGATGTGTACCACGGTGAAAAGATTTACATTTTGATATGACATGCAGTCTAATGGAGTGACATAGCACTAGTGTTGACATTCACTCAACAACAACATTACAGTATCACTATGAAAAGATGCAAAACTCTTACTAAGGTCACAAATTCTAAAAATACTTCTGAGTTGATGTAAGTTCATTTCTCAGTGGCACAGCAGAAAGCCCTTCACTACTGAGGAAGCTGCAAACTCTCACTGCAAGTCATCCCAGCCCAGCCAAGGCCTGGGTCAGGCAGAAATCA